GCCCTTAGCAACGAGGATTAAATAATGAATAAATAAATATATATATACATATATAATAGTTTCATTTACTATCTAATTCAATGCTTATAATAAAAAAAAACAAATATAGAATTAAGATAAAAAAAAATGTGAAAAACGAAAAATACTGAACGAATAGCAACAATAAAATGAAACATAAGGGCGCCTGTTAGAAAATTAAAAAATTTAGAAATTTTTGATTTTATACGTTCTATATTTCATGTTAGTATAATGAAGCTGAAGAACATATGTGAGTTCCACATTTCAGCCCCAAAGGGGCTGTGCTGACAAGCTTTTTCATCTTTTAGTGGGTGTAAAAGTAAAGAGAACACGCACGCTCAAACTTAAACTCACATGCTAAAAGAAGTAAAAGGGCTAAAATATTCTTAGTGTAAGTATGAAGGCATGGACGTGATACTAATACTTGAGACCCTAAAACTTTAACTATTCTACTATTTTCTTCTATCAAGATTCAAATAGTTTGCGAATAAATAATCATTCTTTCTCGTATAAATTCTAGACGTATAATAACTGTCGAATCCTTACATTAGACTCTTACAATTCAATAACTCATTGACTCGATCATGAATTATAAAGTAATTATATTTCTTTTTCTCTATTATCAAAAGAAGTCGAATATCTTTTCTGAATATTCTCATCTTTTTTGTTCATCATTTATCATTCTAATCATGTTCTTTTACAAAACCTATCTGAGTACATAAATTCCATATCTTTATATAATTGATCGAATAAAGATCAAGACAACATTGACAATATTATTCTTATGACAATCATAAACGTATATATACATATATGCATATCCGAAGCTATAACTGCTAAAATGATAGCACTATTTTTAACATTTTTTTTCTCTTCGGGCATTCCCACGTTCACACAACATGATCAACACCTATATGTTGCTTATAATAAATAATAAGAGTTGGATTATCGATATTTAAACCTACAAACAAATGTATTCATTCATTCATATTTAATTGCAGTAACTTTGAACATAAAAAAAGCGCGAACAATCTAAATTATAAGAAACATATTCGATTAAAAAATTATTTCATAGATAAGCAGCTTATATACATATATAACTTTACAGATAAAACAGATGATTGTCACAATAGATAGATAGATAGATAGATACATACATATGAAAAAAAAATCGTTGTCTAACATTGAGTTTAGTAATCAAAATCAACAATAATATTGATTAATTTTATTTCGTAGATAAAATAGATATCTCATAATAATTTACTAATCATACAAAAAAAATATGATTTTCTGTCATGTAAATAAAAACCTGATGATTAAGTTGTAAAACAAAAAAGGAAATATATTAATATTGAACTTGAAATGAAAATATCAAGTCTACATTCAATCTTTTTTTTTCTTTTACTCCCAAATATGACTTTAATAATAGAGATGATGTTATTTGAAGATTAGCGGTACTTTTCATTCTATTATAAGAAATTAATCTATTCAACACAAAACTATTTACCGGTGGAGGAAAATAAACGGAAATACTCTTAGTATATGAAATAATTATTTTCCGAAATATTCAAACTAATTATGCAAAATTTATCTTTAACATGCAAAGCATAAGTATAGCACACAAAATAATTGTTTCCAAGATTTTTCTTTATAAACTAAAAAAACCAACAACAAGAACATTTATGTTTTCTTATTATGAAATATACTGTAATATTTGTGTAATGATCTTGATGATTTAAAAATGACATCATGAATTTTTATTGTGCTTTATCACCACACCATCGTTTGATAGATCGTAATATGAATGCTTTAATATCATCTGGTTCTTCAATAGCAATTTCTTGTGTAGTTCTTGATAATTTTGTTTTATTTTTGATATCTTTAAAATGTTCATTCATTTTTTTGCAAAATAAATCATGTAAATATTGAAGATTTGATTTAACACCTGGTTTTACAACAAATGTTTTATTTGCTAATTCAAAACAGGTACGTTTTTTGATGTCTTCTACATCAGGACTATTTAATTCCAATAATTCTAATGGATTTTTGGTTAATAGAAATGCATTAATATTGTTTATATGTTGCAATTTTAAAATTTCAGCTTCATGTGAGCTGGTTAATTCACGAATTAAATCATAAAATTGATTATCCATTAAAGATAGAACATCTGGTGGTAAAACATTTGTATCAATATTGGTTTTATTTATGGCCATTTTAGAATATTGTAATGAAAATAGAAGAAGTGACGTCACTGAGGAATGTAATTGTTATTAAAGACAGATATTTTCATGCAACGATAAGAATTCGAATTGAAAAAAAAAGAGAGAGAAAGAATTTTCTTCTAAATTATTTAGCTATAACACGTGCATTATGAACGTCCGTTCAGCTAGAAACAAGACGAAAAAAAAGAGAGGACCGTCGAATAATTAACCCAACAAGCATGTTGTTCATATTCAGAAAGCTAATACATTGCGTAGAATTTCTCTCTGTTATTTAAACATATTATTACAGTTTTTCACAAGGAACGATTTGCTTGTATTAACATCTAGGTAAATTACCATTATTTCGTCTAGATTAGATATTGAATAATGTATTTATTTACAGGTGAATGAATGGATTCTATTAGCGTCAACGATACGACTTTGCTACCGGACGACATAATGACATTATATGACGAAAAGTTTTTCAACCTAATCCGTAACTTAGGTGGTGAAGTTGTTACTGAACTTCTAAAAGTTCAATGTATTAACTCTACACGAACTTTACTTCGAATGACTGATGTTTATTCTTTTCTTGAACTTGATTGTCATGAAATAAATGATTTAAAAAAAAAAGTCACGTTTAATCTAGCTAATGGTACAACAGTGATAAAGCCAGGTGTTGCAAATAATATTAATTACATATTTAATTTATTACGTTTTAAAGAACAACAATTGAAAGAAAAAGAAAAAAATGTTGATTATGAAAAGGATGTGTTATACAAATTGGTTCAAAATAATTCTTTATTAAAATCATTAATACTTTGGTATCAAAAAGCAGAACAGCTGCATTTTACTGAAAAACAAACACTTTTACCAACATTAATTGATAACATCACGAATAATCTATCCAAATCGACAAATCAATATTGTTACGATGAGTTAGTTCAACGTTTTGCAGTTATCTTATATATATTAGGTGGCAGGTTCGCTTATAATTTCGTCAGGCTCAATTTAGTATGTGCTCTACCATGTCCAACAACGATAACAAATTTAATACAAGATAAAAATTTGAAGCTAAATGAAGCAGAATTCCGATTCGATCTATTAGAACAACACTTTATGTCGAAGAATTCTAAATATGGTTTCGCTTCTGAAGATACTACGGGTATCATTAAAAAAGTAGTTTATAACACCGATACTAATTCTTTCATTGGATTTTGCACTCCATTGGATAATGGAATTCCAATTGCGCATCATTTTCGTACAGAATCGTTCTATCAATTGAAGGAATGGTTTGCTGATGTTGAGAAAGCTGCTTTACTAAATCTACACATGATTCAACCTCTTTCACAAGACGTTACAAACTCATCATCATTTATACTATCAGCATTCAGTATAAGTAACACATTTACATCAAGTGATATTGTTCAAAAATGGATTTACATTTTTAATGAATGTTCATCTCGAAATATACGAATCATCGGATTCGCCACTGGTAATTCAATTTTCTTTTAGTTCTACTGAATTGCATAAAACTGAAGGCCTATTTGAGAACTCTGAATACCACACATTTTAATGAAAGTTATAGTAAAATAGAAGTGATTTTGTAGCCTAATAATACAAATACGTCTTTATAAGATCTTTTATAACTTATCTGAGTGTTCTTTATTATTTTGATACATTAAAAACGTATTTTAAACGAAAGAAATATTTGGTTTTAGTCAGAACAGCGATATCCCAGAAGCCAAAATCATTAGAGATCATAAAATACAAGATATGCAACAGTAATTCGACCAAAATAATAAGTTGAGTGCGATAAAAACCCTGACTATTGTATTAATAGTACGGAGTGCAAAAGAACTACCCCCTTGGGATAAAAGTATAACTAAATATTTATTTATAATTATAAATGAACTAAATTATATATCAACAGTAACAATAGTGAATGTGCAAATATACAATATATACAACAACAATTTAATACAATCTTACAATTGAAAACTTTAAATCAAACAATAGTCACTATTTTTTCACCTATGTGGACCTATTTCCCACCGTAATGATCTTCTTTGAGCTCAAAAACTAAATAACCTATCCACATATTTTTTCGTTGAATTATATATAGAAAGATGCAGTTTTTGACTGGCTTTCTCTTGATGCAAAAAGGTTTTGAAGAGAGAATTGCTCTGGTATACTTTCAGAGCAAAAATATAAAAACTTTTCATAAAAAATGATTATTCTTGTCGATTTATTTAGTTACAAATAACACATTAGAGACTCTTTAGACATGATTTATATTTGACAATCTTGTTCTATCATAGTGTATTTTACAGATCTAATCAAGATACGTTAATTAATACTAAAACAGAGGGATCTTTGATGCTAATATATGTAATCATAAAGTGTTATATGGAATTCTCTAAAATTCATAAAATAGTACCTGAGGGTGGATTCAAAGATCCGTTCATATCTCTTGATAGGACTTCCAGAAGGGGTTAAAAATTTGGCTCTGAACATAACTTTTCACGAGCTTTCGAATGGTATAACTTATTTAAAAGTCAAAATTTGTCGTATGCATGTTTGATCAATAGTCTGATGGATCCTCTCTTAAAATTAAATTTTCTAATATATGATAAAGAAATAGGTCCATATAAGTGAAAAAATAGTGACTATTGTTTGATTTAAAGTTTTCAATTCTAAGATTGTATTAAATTGTTGTTGTATATATTGTATATTTGCACATTCACTATTGTTACTGTTGGTATATAATTTAGGTCATTTATAATTATAAATAAATATTTAGTTATATTTTAATCTCAAGGGGGTAGTTTTTTTGCACTCCGTACTAGTTATAATTAGTATAAAAAAAACAGGACTTAAGAATTATGATACTATAAAGAAAGAAATGGAATAAAAGCAAAAATCAAAATGATTATTACTGTGGATTTGCTAGTCAAAATAGTAGTGTTCCATTTATGATTGAAATTTTAACTAAAAAAATTATTTTTCCTTGCATTTGACTGGAAATCAATTTCACTTATGACGGTATCTTGTAAAATGAAACGAATGAAAATCTCCGAAAAACTAAACTCTTCAAAAATATACAGAGATTAAGCTACATTTTGCTGTCTTCTGCGAGATAAACAATACATTGGTAAAAAAGTCTTTGTTTTGCCAAACTAGCGTGTGATGAATAAATACTAGAATTATATTCTCTTCTTATTGTTGGCATATTTTTCTTAGATTGCGACAGCAGATACTTGTCTGCAATGCGAATTATTTCTGGATTTTTTATTCATACACCAAATATGACCTTACATCAACTACCAGAAGCATTTCGAATTGTTTTACCAGGAAGTTGGGATTGGTTTTTCCTAAGATCTCAACAACTACTATTATTTTTTCAAGATGCTACACATCTTGCAACCAAATGGAGAAATAGAATCTTGTCTAGCAAAGCCGAGCTTACAATTGGAAATTTTCAAATAAAAATGCAGCATCTTCTAGATTTATTAACATCTCCTGACAAAAAAATTGAGCATAATTTAGTGCAAACCGATGTGAATCCAAAAGATAAGCAAAATTTTCCATCTTGCAAAAAAATAAGTTCTCAAAATGTTTTAGATTTATTACTGAAAAAAAAAGAAACAGAAGCTACTTACGTCTATCTTAACTTATTGCAATATATCATTAGCGCATATGTTGAAACAAGTACTCCAATTGAAGATCGTCTTTACTACTCATGGACAGTCGTATTTGTTTGCAGAATGTGGAAGATTTGGTTGAACCACAATTCACCCATAAATACCTCAACATTAAATGATAAATCTTCAAAACGAAATAAGAATAAAAATAAATATTTCATCACCACACCGATATATCGATCAATTGAAATCAACAGTCATAATTTACTGTATCTCATAATTTTAGTGAAGCAACGTACTTTACCAAAAGAAGCTTTAAATGTTTTCTTGTTTAGCTCACAGCCTTGCGAATCAACATTTAAAAATGCAAGAGCTTTGAGTGGAATTTATCATACGGCTGTAAATTTTACTGCAGCCGATTTTCTTCGTCGAAGTGAAAAACTATCCATTCTTAACGAAGAAAAATGTAACAATGTATTAAACGAAAATGATCGAGAACTTAAATTTCCAATTCATCATAAAGGAAATAGAGTAAACTATGATTCTTTATCTAATTTGAATGATATCGATAAAATCAGCGTTGAAAATATTATTTTAGCTGCATTTAATCGTGCAAAAGAACTAGTTAGTAATTTGAATATATTACCTTCATTAAAGAAATGCAATGCTTGTGAACTTAATGGTTTAAGTAAAAATATATTTGATAGTATTAGATTCAACATTAATTCGGATACTTATTCGGCAACGGATGCAGATTCTTCATCAGATTCTGAATCTGATTATGATGATGAAACGATGGAAAGTAATGAATTTAATAGTGATCTAATCAATGTGGATGAAGAAGATAAAGATGCGGCAACGACACAAAGTGTTGATGAAATTAAGACTGAGAAAATAAATTTTACTGGTATGCGTATATTTGATTCGATCAATCCAGCAATGAAAAACTCCTATTTTCAAGTGCAAATAAATAACAAGATTAAATTTATACACAAGCAAACGGCTTGTTGGTTATTAACTGACAAAGCTAGCCGTTTATCGGCTGATAGATTATCAAGAGTGATAGAAACAAACAAAAAGGATTAAAATTGTTCATCAGATTGATTTGGATAGATAAAACATTTCTTATAAAAATAAAACACTTCATTCAAAAAGATTCAGTTATTAACTATTACGTTTACTAAGACCAAACAAGCTTGAATTTTTTCCAGCACATTGAAAAAAAAACAATAAATAGTTCACCTTTCTGCTAAAATAAAATCGTCGAAAACAAGACAATTTCATTGGTTTCTTATGAGTTTTCATGCACTAAATGTATTTCAAAACTTTCAAAAGAATTCATGAGACTTCATTAGATTTCATGAGACTTCAAGAGACTTCAAGAGACTTCAAGAGACTTCAATTGACTTCAAGAGACTCC